TGAAGATTTCTAACCAACAAAAATATGAAACGTTGCATAAAATTAGTCTTGCCTTATAGGCACAACTAAAAACCTTCAATAATATACTGATAGGAATAAAGTACTCGTAAAGAATATCAACGCGATTCCAATACCCAATTCGATATTGTGGCGCGGGTCGATGGTACCCATGGTATGGTAGGTGGTACCATCATGGTACCACTTGCCGAAGAGCTTAACAGGTGAACAGAAGTTGCGGTTGATGCGGATGGTCGCCTTAGTATACACAAGAAGTCCTATGGCGCGGCATTACGGCTACCAGAAATAACGGACTCATCAAGACTGGTCAAGTGGTTCCTGAATTTTTTCGGCAGTGTCCACCTCTTCTGTATGCATTCCTGATGTAAATTGCCTTAAAAATCGGCTGGTCACTTTCAATTTTATTTTCTTCGAAGAATCTTTACTTTGTTGATTAGCCACAATGTGAATAAAGACTGTTCTTGGAATGTAGGTACCATCATGGTACAACTCGCTGAATAACTCAACAGGTGAACATAAGGTGCGATGGCTGTGGATGGTGGGTTCGAATCAAGAAGCTTGATGGCATTGACTTACTAGTACCCTTCATTTTGAAGATTAATTCAAAAACTGTGTCAGAATATAATTGGTACCCAATCTAGGAGAGTTTGGGTAGGTAACAATATTCCAGTACAAATTGAAAAATCTGCTACTTAGAATAAGTATACATTTTTTCTATTCACATTTCATGTGGGATGAATGCAAACTTCAATTTGTTTTCCTGAAATTTACTATTCAGAAAATATTTCAAAAAATGCTAGAAAAGAAAGACAAGATTTCAAAAAATAGAGAAGAACCTTCAAATGGTTCTTCATGGTCGTATCAGCCATTAAATTACCAGTATACCGTTCTTGATTTTCTACATAAGTACCGAGTTATAGTGGTTCCTAAACAATTTTTGGCAGTACCTCTTTCATACGTATGCGCTCCTGATTTAAAGTGCCTTAAAAAATCGATCAGTACTTTTAATTTCATTTGGAACGATTGAGTAATAATTAAAGTAGGCAATCAGTTTTTTAAAGCACTGCTGCTCAACTAATGAGGAGTCAAAAAGTCTTATCATGGATTGAAATTCTAAAAACATAATTATACTGCCAATCAATGTGATACCAATAGGTGAATGGATACAATTACCAAAAATATTATTCGAGTACCATCATTATGAAGCGAGACCCAGGTAGTGAACCAAAACCCTTGGTACTCTTTCCGCTTTAAAAATCCCAGTACCATTTTTGGTTTCTTCACTCCTGATCCGAAAGTAGTGCAAGTTCAATGCGAAAGGGTTAACGGAAAATATTGTACCAATTTGCTGGAACTGTAAACAGAATAAGCTCTGCGTGCCTGATGAAAAATTGAATATCAATTATTATTAAGTGGGTACCAGGTTAGGCTAAATATTTTTGGCAGTACCTACCTGACTCTTCAACATCTATGCGTTCCTGATGTAAATTGCCTTAAAAAATCAGTCGGTTACTTTTAATTTCATTTGGGCATTCTGAACCTAAAAAAACATCGGAACCATGAAAATTTCGGTAGTACCTCTTCAATGCTATAATTTCTTGATAGGAGATTTTTGAATCAAGATCAGTGGGTTAAGGGCGTTTGATTTGGCGGTACCCACAAAGTAGGTACCTTGAGGTTTTGTTCGTTATTTAACCTATGTAAAATTTTTATGTACATAATCTAACGCATTTGGCGCATGCATTTTTGAAAAGATGCGATTTGGGATGAGAAAATTCATATTTTTAAAGTTTTTTTGCTTTGTGAAAAGGTTGCCATATTTCAAAAAAAGCTGATTTTTTTTTTCGTCATGCGTGATCTTTTCAAGTAGAATTCTTTGTACATTTTGTCTTGAACTTTCAACTTAATTATTTTGAAATGATAATTTCACAAAAACTCAATACGATTAATGAAAAAAATTCAATTAGAGACCAAAACTTGCTTAGATCACAGAATTTAAATCAGACAAAGAGAGGCTGAAAGTTGGAAGAAATGTGAAAGATTTTATATTCGGAAATTAAGTTACAATAGCATGAGATCAGAAGTTCAGACGTAGCTGAAAATGTATGAGGTTTTCTCATTAAAAATCAGAAATTTAAGATTCACAATTTGGAAATTAGAATTCGCGAAAATTTATCAGAGAGCAGAGTTTAAGAGAAACCCGAAGATAATTTGACAAAAATTCAATCAGAAGAAATTGAATTAGAGACCAAAACATGTTCAGGTTTGAGAGTTTCACAGAGCTTAAATCCGACAAATAGAGGCCGAATGTTGGAAGAAATATATAAGATTTTATATTTAGAAACCAACTTTCAATCGCATAGAAATTAGAAGTTGCTAGAAAATGTATGAGGTTTTCACATTAAAGATCAGAAATTTGAGATTCACAATTTAGGAAAAACTATTTTCTATTCAATCCAATCAGATGACAGAATATGAAAAGACTTCGATTAAAGAGCTGAATTTGACAGGAATTTTAGAAACCAAAACTTTCTTAGATTCAAGAGTTTCACAGAACTTAAATCAGACAAAGAGAGGCCGAAACTTGGAAGAAATATATAAGATTTTATATTTAGAAACCAACTTTCAATCGCATAGAGACCAGAACTTGCATAAAAATGTGCGAAATGTTCACGTTTAGCACGGTATAAATTACCACACCAGCTTCATATTCATTTAGAGTTTCATAAAATTGATCATTTCAACTTCATCCAGTTTCGCTATTAAAATCTTTATACATTTTCAATTGGTTAGTTCCTATTTGGATTCATCTTCCTGTCTTCGTGTAATTTCATCAGAAAAATCCGTTTATTCTTCATCAAGATTCGTTGTTTTAAAATACCTTTTCTCTTCACCTTCATCCTTTTCAAGGGAATTCAAAAAATCTAGATGAGAAAATGAATGGGGAAAAGCATTTTGGAACAACCAGAGAATTCTGGAACAATATTCGTGAATCTGGATACAAATGAAGATAAAAGTGAAGCGGTAAATGAATTCTGTAACAAACTTCATAAATTTTGGGGAGCAAATAGATGTAGGTAAAGGCCAAAAAGGATTCAAAAAGTACAACAAATCTTGATGAGAAAAATGAAGTTATTTTGGAAATACGTACTTTAACAAATCTTAATAAGGAAGAAGATATTGAGGTGAAGAAAAAGGATTCTAAAGTTCTTAATGAGGAAGGTGAAAACTATAATTATGACAATGATGTTATCATGTTATATTTAATGACAAAATGATACCTTCAAAAGTCTGAAAACGTGCTGAAAATGGATGAAGCAAAATTGAAGGTTATTTCTTCTTAATTTAAAATGTTTAATCCTGCAAAAAATCTTAAAATAATCTGAATTCTTCTAACGCATAACATAATTCCGCTATATTTTTGAGCTTTTAAGATATTTACCTCCAAAATGTATCATTTTTTGCCTTGCCAAAATAATAATAATTGATTTACCAACCTCAAAATCTAGAAGTTCCGGAATTAAAAACCTTATATTAAACTGTTCCAGAGCGGATACCTGGGAGGCCTTAGATCGAGTCTGGGCGGTTGGACGCAGAAAGTGAAGTCTTGGTACTGGGGCAGGCCTTTAGTAAGTCTTCGTAGGTCCTCTGTTTTATTTTTTTCTCTTGTATACAGCACTACGAAAATATAGCATGGCCTCGGATGATGATGATGGTTTTATTTATTGTTTTAGATTTTCATTTGTGCTGCTGGGAAAATTTTTGATACTCAAAACTTTTCCCTCATAATTTATTTATATCGGCACTGGAGCACGAGTTTGACTTGACGAACACCAATCGGATGGTTTTTTTTTTGTTGTCTTGTTTGAATAATTCTAAATCAAATGTTTGTGTAATTGTTTCATATTGTCATTGGAAAACATTTGCTTTAGAAAGCTTTTTTCTATTTTTATTCGAAATTAAATTTGCGTATTTGTCCAAAATTTTTCACTTTTCTTGCTCTACACACAAAAAAAAAAACACTTTTCTTTTTATGTTTTCAGGGATTATCAAACAAAATTGGCAGGTATCTAAAATTGTTTTGCACAAAATTTCATATTATCACAGCTTTACTTTTAAAATTATTGCTTTTGTAGACAATTTTTTTTAAATTTATAGACTTTCTAGTTACACGTTAGTTTTCTTAGAAGACACATTCAATTTATTAATCAAGGCATTATGCATATTCAGTAGTGTTGTATCATTAAAAAAAAAAAATCTTTTTAATAATATTTTTTAACAATATCCTACGTAGACTGCACCACAATGATGAAGGATATTGTAAAAAAAAGTCTTAATTCATTTACCTACCAAGATACACATAAAGGTGGTTTCAGTATCCAAGAATCTTCTGGGTTCAATCACACAGCATGCATGGGAGAAGAAGCATGTTGTTTTTGACTATATATTTTTAGAGCACTTTGTAGAGTTTTTTTATTCACTATATTAGGGTAAAATAATATAGAAATAGTCTTCTTTGCCCTTAGATAATTACTGTAGGACAGTAGTTATTATTTTACCCTTTTTTTCTAAATATTTTTAGTGAGTTATGTTAGTTTAGTTGTCATAAAAATTAGATGTTTAATGTATCTACATACAGAGGATGTTCTTTAGTAATAGCTATCAATAGGGAAAACTCCTAAAAAATTTATAGCGTTATAGCAAAATATGTCAGGTTATAAAGAGACACCCTGTATAATAAAGAAAATCGTAATTGTATCTTCAAACCAACATAAATCCGCCATAATTAAAAAAACCCTCAAGTCACTGTGGGAGTGAGAACGTCCCAAAGAGCGTAGGCTCTTAACAGCACAATGCTTGCTTTGTATTTGTAATATTTATATTTACAGGACAATTGAACATCTGTTGCTTAATTTACGTCCTATTCATATATATGCGGAAATAGATTGAATTCGAAAGATAATCGAAAATATTCTTTGCAGGAATTGGCACATAAATTATCTCGCAGCTTCGACATGAAAGAAGACTCCAGCATGTTGGAAGGTGAAGGCGTGATGCGACGTCATCAATCGATGCAAAGACTGACCCGGGACGGTACCCTCGAACCCAGAGAACCGCCCAGGGTGTCCCAGGACGACGAAGGGAACATGAAAGTTACGGTAAAAAAAAATAAACCGATTTTGGGGATAGCGATCGAAGGCGGTGCCAATACTAAACATCCGTTGCCTAGGATTATTAATATTAATGTAAGTGGATTTTGTAATATTCAATTTCTTGAACATTATAATAACTGCAAAATGAGAACGCAAGAAGAAGAACCTTGATCAGTACCATCCATTTATTTAAATGTTGTTGCAGCCGATATAATGCATTAAAATTACGTGGTGTAAATTGGTGTAATTTTACCCTCAATTACCAACTTAAACCGCGATATCGATCGCATTTCTCGGTAATTATCCGCTCCGGTTTTTATTTTTTTCCGAACGAAATTTTCAATTATTCAGAAAATTATCCGGCTGAAACTCCATAATTAGCCGTGGCGGCGGTAAAAGTCGAAATTCCACTATAATAAGGGACAAGAGGAATCCGTAGAAAATTAACGAGATTTGCATTTTTGATTGCCTCTAGGAGTATAATGTTTCTTGGATTTTTTCATTATAATGGCAATTTTATGAATTGTATTATAATTGTTATTAGCGTTACAAATATTTAATAAGAAGTTTGAAATAATTCAAATTGAATTGAAGTTTTCTCCTAAAATATTGTAATAGGCCTAATTTTACAGGAATCCTCTTTTTTTTGCCAACAAAACATCTTGATCTTCAGGTTCGGTAAATTTTGTTAACCAGAACCAGACCTGATCTGTTTCTCTAATAACTATCAATTTTGCTGTACCGAGCTCAAATTGACGTTTCATCTTTTTTGTTGGTTTAATTTTCTTTTGGATTTGAAATTTTCGATTCTTCATCCTCATCTTGTCTGGCCTTTTCCAGTTAGCTCAGATGACGTTATTTCTAATCCTTCCCGGAGATTTATTAGAAATCTCAAGTCAAACCGAGCCTGAAAAAATTTTACAGACGTTGAAAGATTGAAAATGAAAAAACACCAGCCGTTAATATTTATTTACCTAACTAGTGCGGAAAGAGGTACTTTTCCGCACGAGGGTGGAAAAGACATTTTCCGCAAAAGTTAGGTACAATGTTTTTCCTACGAGTGTTTTTGTCCATATTATTTATCAAAAATTGATCAAAAGATCTGTGTAAGATCTAGGTTTTCTGAATGAAAAATAATACCTATAGATATTAATTTGATTTGAAGTAAAAAATAGTACCCTATATCTTGAATTAAGCGTATAAGTAAAAATCGTGCGGAAAAGTAGAAATCGTGCAGAAAAGTCCCGCACTCGTTAGGAAAATAGCTATTTCAAGATTCGATATCAATAATTAAAATCCTAGAAAGTAGGTAACAACACAAAGTTCTGTTTTGAGTAACCCAAACGTTCAATTCAATAATTACATTTTCAATATTCATAATAAATACAAAACAAAATTCAAATCTGTGTTTAGTGTGTTTTTTATTTCTGAATAATGAATGACACTTTTAGGCACTAGTGCTTAAAAATTACTTTTACGCACTCAAAAGTCACTTTTACGCACTGAGTGCTTAAAAGTAACTTTTTCTATTTTGGTTTCATATCGAAGTCTTTTCGACACTAAAAGTAGTGTCGAAAAGAAGCTCTTTGTGACACTCCTTTTTTACTGATCGGAGGTTGGTGACACTGGCCGACTGATGGCCATCGAACTGTCATTCGCAATTTTTAATAGAAGATTTCTATATTTGGCATGTAGTGTTACCAACCTAAACATATGAAATCAGGAAATATGAGAATAAAATCTCCAGGAATTTTTTTTTTTTTTTTTTTAATTAAACAATACCAAAATAGAAAAAATAGTATAAAATATTCGTTTCATAAGACATTTTATCGCACTCGCCCTTTAGAAATCTCGCCTCCGGCTCGTTTTCTAATATAGGGCTCGTGCGATAAAATGACGTCTTATGAAACTTGTATTTTAATGTACTATTTACGCACTCAGTGCTTAAAAGAATGTCATTTTAAAACTAAAATGATAATCGAAAAGTTGCTATTATGAAACGTCAGTAGAAAAATAATACCTATAGATATTCAATTGATTTGAAGTAAAAAATAGTACCCTATATCTTGAATTAAGCGTATAAGTAAAAATCGTGCGGAAAAGTAGAAATCGTGCAGAAAAGTAAAAAAATCGTGCGGAAAAGTAAAATCGTGCGGAAAAGTACAACTTTCAAAACGAAAAATCGTGTAAAAAAGTAACTTCTCCGCACGCTCGTAGGAAAAAGATTGTAAACAAGTCCACCTATGTGAGACCACCTATGTGAATCGCTCGCCGCCGTCTCAACCTGATAGACTATTTTGTTTTTTCGAAAAACTCAACTTAGAATTTTTGAAAAATTCCTAGTAAAAAGGAGTGAGAAATTGAAAAATAAAGAGGAAATTTAAGATAAGTTAAGGAAAAACTGTTAGACAAAGAAACATAGTTTTTTTATTCTTGGCTTTCATATTTAGTCTATTTTTCTGAAGTTTAAAGAAGCTTAGAAGATATTGAAAATTCAAAAGCCAATAAAAGACAAACATTGAGACCAAGAAACTAAGAAATAAAGAGGCAAATTAGGGCCTAAACTGTTAGACAAAAAAAAATTATTTTTCTATTCATATTTTGCTGAATTTCCGTTATTTGAAGAAACTTAGAAGGTATTGAAGATTCAAGAGCAAGGAATCGACAAAAATTCAGACGAACAAATCGAGAAATAAAGAGGAAATTTTGAAATTCGAAAAAAGTCTACTTCTAATGTCGGTCAATCCTTAGTAGGAGTGGATTTTTCGGTTTCTTTTCGCCTTCTCTGGCCTTTATTTTGAGGTCCTTATACAAAACACAAAATGATTCTGAGAAATGAGAAGAAAGTTAAAAAAAACTTGAGGACCTTTCACAGCCGTTGAAATATTAAAGATAAATACCTCTCAGCATCTTTCCAGATGTGACAGATTGGAGAATTTAATACTCTGAGAATCGATAAGGGGTTTTCATTCGGGCTTAATGGCCGTCGTTAGTTGGAATTTCTTCCTGACGTTACGCTAGCATACGTGGCTAGCATCTTCAGAGGTGCTTCCATGTCCGATTCTGGTAGCAAACTGACGCGTTACCGACCGTAAGTTGTATTTATGTGTGAATGGCTGTGGTGAGAGAGGGGCGAGGCTTCACGGCGCGTGGCTAATCTCAACTTTCTCTGTACTCAATGGGATCTTTCTTGCGTTTTTGAGGATCGGGTTCCAGATTTGGTTAAGTTTTAGTGTTTCTTCTTTCCTGTTGAAGTTCTTCGTATGTTTGTGGATTCCTAAAGCTTCACGCTTCACGTACAAGACGATTGTGGTATCCAGAAGTCGGTGCAAGAAGCTTAACCTCACCAAAGAGTATATCATGATTCCCTTCACTAAGCGCATGTTCCGCAACTGCCGTTTTTTCCGATTATCCTAGTCTGCAGTTTCTTTTGTGATCGTTCATCCTGGTTTCCATGGATCTTTTTATGTCGTTCCTATGTATACCTTACCACATGTGCATGGTATACGATAGACTCCAGCGCTTGACAGTGGATTCCAATTAGCTGATCTGACTGATTGCTGTATTTTCCTTGTTGGCTTGAAGATTATTTTTATGTTGTGCTTCTCTAAGACTTTCGCTATCCTGTCTGTCACCTGAGAAGTGAAAGACAGATATGCATTAGCCACCACTGGTTGTTCATCCACCATTCATGTAACCATTTGATAGAAAGCCCGACTTGAGATGATCCAGGTCTTGCTCGAGATATTGTGGCTCGCAAATGTTCCGAGCACGTTCTGTTAACGTTGTTATAATTCCACGTTTTTGCCATGGATGGTGGTTTGAGAGTGCATGCCGGTAACCTGTCTGTGTTTGTAGGTTTTCGGTACACCGTGTGGCTTAGTTTTCCTCCAGATTTCTTTATGAGAACATCTAATTTCGATTTCCTGGTTTTTCTCCTTTTCCATGGTAAATTCTATGCTAGGATGTTGCTCGTTCAGGTGGCCTATAGGAATTGGTTAAGCTTCTCTTCCCCATGACTCCAAACCACAAAAGTATTATCTACGTATCGAAGCCATACCGTTGGTTTGTGGTCAAAAGTTTCTATAGCTTTCTTATCAAATTCCTCCATAAAGAAGTTGGCTATGACCGGGCTGAGCGGACTTCCCATAGCAACACCCTCCGTTTGCTCGTAGAAATCGCGGTTCCACAGAAAGTACACTGAAAAAACAGCTCCCCTTACCACAAGGTATTCAGTGATCTTGAAATAAATTATCTTATATCAAGAGTTAATCTACTGCATGAAGAAAAATTACTTTGTGTTGAGAATTTTGTGGTTCTTGTAATTTTTTAAAACTACTCTTGAATGACATTTCTTTCAGGCGAAATTATATTCTCTTTATACCAAGAATAATCTTTTATTGCATAATTGTTAAGCTCCTTGTTATTTGGGCCAAGAATCTTGATTTTTGATGGAATATTCCAAAATCTTATTCAAAATTTAAGTTTCTGCCGATGCCCTCCAACCCAGTTGTGTAGTGCCTAGCAGTATAGTGTTACGTGCTGCCTACGACCTACTCGGACCTGCGACTAGTTTTCAATTCAAACAGTTATATCGTGTTTCCTATGGTGTTGCCCCAGGATATCAGTGCGTCAACGTCAGGGGACCAAAATTATCTTGCAATCCTGTTTGGAAAATACTTGTGATGGCCCCAATACAAGAATTTTTGGAGGCAAACAAATTGTCCCACTACACCCACTTGTTGGAAAAGTTCGAACGTATATAATGTAAATTTTACAGGTAGTAGGTATGTATACCTAATAATTATGTTTCCAATTTAGCAGTTTTAATTATTTAAATTGTAGATAATAATATAATGATTTTTTAGTTAGTGGGCCAATATTTTGTAAAAATTGTTTGAATTCTTAGGCTAATAAATATTTTCAAAGATAAACAAAATCTGATGTTTCTTTATGACTAATAATCCTATCACCAAATACCTATGGATTTTAGGCAAAAAATTCTCATCTTCACTTAAGCGCTGATGACCTCTAGTGAAAAAATTGAGATCTTCAGCTAAGTACTTTGATCTTCAATAGAATCGAATACATTT